CAAGCCACGCCGAGAGCCCAGACCACATAACCCGCAAAATAGTGCTCAATTAGCATCGTCTGAAGGGAATTAAGCTTCGTGGCTTCCGCTCTGCGTTCAGACGAACGACCTAATATTCGAGCAGCAGCGCCCCTGCGATCATCTAGCAACGGTAGGAACGGTTGAGAAGGACTCAGACAGGCTTGCAAACATTTCTGTCCAAGGGTCCTATTTTCAGGGTCTTTGCGGGTCCGGCCCAGCTGTAAGCTCTCAGCCCTCTGCATCTGGATGTCAATCTTGAACACGGAAACGGGAAATTATTTCCTATGCTACTCGGGGTTGTGCTGAGTCTTCATTGAGCTCGGATCCAACATCAACAATGAACTTCTCCAGGCGGGGCTGGCAAGTCTCTCGTTCTCAGACCTCGCAGCATGCTCAGGCAAGCACAGGCAAGTTGCGAGGGCAAGGACCCATCGCAGCTAGCAGCGAATTTCTCCTCCTTCCAGAGAGACAACATCGAAAATGAAGTATGGAAGAGGCTATATAACCAGAGATCATGTTCGCGATTCCAGTCAAGTTTTTCTTTCCTCATCCGCATCCACATCTCTCACTCTCTTCTCTCTCTTGAGGACTCTCACTCTCTGATATTCCATTCTCATTCTCTTCAGAACAACACTCTTCGACAACAGAGCTACACCAAAGAATCCAAGATGGTTCGCTTCCTTGCGCTTCTCGCCGCCGCGAGCATCGCCGCGGCTGCTCCTGCTTGCGATGCCGGCAAAAGCAATGACTGGGACAACAAGGACCATGGCAAAGGCAATGGCAAAGACAACGACTACGGCCACGGCAAGGGCAACAACAATGGCGGCGACTGGGGCAATGGCCATGGCAACGGCAATGGCCACGGAAATGGCAACGGCAACGGCAACGGCAACGGTGGTCACGGACACCCTACTCCGACTATCTCTGCCAGTGTCTCTTCCACTGCCGTCAACACTGCGGCCGACATCCAGTACACCTCGACTGCCAGCGCCGATGTGGCTGCCGCCGCCGTTACTGCCAAGACCGAGTCTCCTACCTCTCACGTCAAGGGCAAGGTCTTCGACCGCATCATGCAGGTCTACCTCGAGACCACCGCCTACAACAACTCCATCGCCGACCCCAACTGCCAGGCTCTGATCAACCAGGGTATACTGCTCACTGAGATGTACGGGATTGGCACGCCTTCTCAGCCCAACTACGTCGCTCCCGCCAGCGGTGACGACTTCGGCACCAACAGCGATTCTTTCCTCTTGGTTGACAAGAACGTCTCCACCATTGTCGACCTCCTCGAGGACAAGGGCATTAGCTGGGGTGACTACAACGAGGGTCTCCCCTACACCGGCTTTGAGGGCTTCGAGTACGACAACGAGGAGGAGGGTGACTACGCTCGCAAGCACAACCTCCTCGTCCGCTTCGACTCCGTTACGCTCAACCCCGACCGCCTGGCCAAGATCAAGAACCTGACTCTCTTCTACGAGGACCTCGAGAACGACCGCCTTCCCCAGTGGCTGTTCGTCACCCCCAACCTGTACAACAACGGCCATGACACCAACATCTCTGTCTCTTGCAACTGGACCCGCAGCTTCGTCGAGCCCCTCCTCCAGGACCCCAAGTTCAACGATGGCCGCACCCTCGTCTATATTACCTGGCAGGCTAACGGCCAGTACCCTCTCGAGCGCAACCACGTCGCCGGTATCCTCCTCGGCTCTGCCGTTCCCAAGGAGCTTGTCGGCACCAAGGACAACGCCTTCTACAACCACTACTCCGAGCTTTCTTCCGTCCAGGCCAACTGGGATCTCCACACCCTCGGTCGTTGGGATGTCGGTGCCAACGTTTGGAACTTTGTCGGCTCCAAGACCGGTGACAAGATCCGCGAGTGGAGCACCAAGATCGCCGGCGATATCTTTGAGAACTACTACTGGAACCAGAGCTATGGCGGTGTCTTCAGCAGCGACTCCAACACCTCCCACTTGTACGTCGCTCCCAACCTGGACATCCTCGGTGGTGGCTACCGTTCCATCCTCCCTGCCATTGCCAAGCTCTGGTACGGATCCCGCCTTCCCGACTACTACAAGAACATCATCGAGCTCCCTGATGCCCTCCACCCCCCTAAGGGCTACGAGGTCACCATTGGTCTCACTCCCCCTGAGCCCATTGAGACCCCTATTCGCGTCTACCCCGCTTAAGCACCAGTAGTCGCTTGCATTCGAGGAGTTGAGCTGTCTGGCGGTGAGAACGGAATTGGCTTTGGTCAAATGAGTGTCTTATACTTCTACATGTACATTAAATCTTTGTATTTATGATTGGTGTAAATAGCTGTCAATATTAAACCCATAAAAAGTAAAGCAGTGTTCATTTACTGAGTGAAAATAAATCAAGTGACAAGTCTTGTTCATTGTACGAATAAATGGCCCATGGGCAAGTTTTACTCTAGTGCTATACTGTAAGTTCCTTCACGAAGCGGGCCAGTTGGTACGGATATGCCGAGAGGAATATGCTTAGGTGGATGTGGCGACTCACGCATCGTCTTTGCTATGCCTTGAAGGCGGTTTGCCTTTCGGTCTTTCTGCCTTCGACTCGACATGGCGATGAATATTTCCTCCTCCAATGCATTAGGTTTTCAAACAATACTGAAAGAATAAGGTTACCAACAGCAGACTGGGCGGCGTCCTCCACATTTATCTGATCTTCTGGGAAGATTGAAGCTTATTGACAGTGGATTGCATGTTCCAGACTTATGATTCGCATACGCGTGGAAACCTACCCCGCCATTCAAGATAATCTAACCCAACTGTCATATGCTTCTTCTTTTGCCGCCCTTGCAATAAGAAATAACCTGGCCTGCCATTTACAAGCTATGTCGATTCATTGTGGCCACAGCTCGTACGCTCCTTTCTCTAGATATTTCTTCCTCACAGGCAGAAGCTCCATACCAACACAACAGCAGACTTGCTCTACATCATCTAACCTCCTTGTGCCACACCGCCTGGACTTTTCAATATGGCGCAACTAGTTGACCTCCCAAAGGAAATTATTATCATCATCTGCTCTGTCCTTCGATCCGAGCGCTCTACCAGGCACGTGCTCCACACAAACACCACTGATGAAGAGATTGACCACGTCCTTCATCAGGTGCAGAAAGCTGTCATGAACCTCTCTCTAGTCAACAAGGAGTTTCGCGGGCTCTTGTTTAGAGAGTCCTACACGTCAGTCAGCATCGCTGGAAAGACAGCAGCGTCGAAAATGATATCGCTCTTGCGGCTCGTTCGATGGAACGACATCATCCGCAAATCCATCAGGGACTTTCACCTGCACATCGAAGAATTCGAGAACAGCCGCGAGACGGTGCAAGAAGCCGATATCATGTTTTTGGAGCAGACTGCTGCTTCGTTGGGCATCGCAATCAATACTCGTCTCTGCTTCCTCAACTTATATCCCAATGTCATGCGTGGGCGACCGTTCACAATTTATGAGGCTTGTAAGAAAGGATCAGTCCCATTCACCTTTATGGCCTCTATTCTGCTATTAATGCACCTGCAACGTATGGAAGAGCTCTTTCTGGAAGTTACAGAGCCTCATCTCCGCTTCATTAGCAACTTTTGCGGCCTGATAAAAGGCATTCGCTTCCCGGTCCTCCAGTCGCTTGCTCTCAGAGGCACCCGTCGTGGTGTAGGCCACGATCTGGACGAAAGCGAGCCTAGTGGGATATCACACGAAGTTCTGAAGAATTTATTTATCGCCGCTCCGAAACTTGACGACCTATTTCTTCAACGTTACCATCTCTTGGGCTTGTTGGATAAGCCCAGGAATACTCAGATCCGTTCTTTGGTTCTTCACGGCGTGTATGCCCGTTTTTCTGAACTGCCACCCACCATTGAGCCTTGCGAGATGATGGAAACGTTCATGTACATTAAGGCAATGCATGAGATTGAGGATGACTACCTGGAGATATACCCCGGCGATTTGTGCCGCGCCCTCACCAGTCGCAATCATGCGTCGTCCCTGCATACAGTTGTTTTGGACTTCCGCCCAAACGATAGACAGGATCCTTTCAGTAAGCGATTTTCCTCGTTCAAGGACTTTACACAGCTCAGGAGCCTGTGGATCAGCATGAACTCCCTCGATAAGGCGGCGCATGAAGACAGATACAACATGCCAATCAGAAACCTTCCTGCCTCTCTCGAGCGTTTTCATCTTGCCGGGATTAGTTGGGAGATTGCCGAAGACTTGTTATGGCTGGCGGATCAAATTGAATGGGGCAAATTTCCTCATCTGAGAGAGGTGTGTATTGATGGCGAGGGCTATGATATCACGAACCTTGTCAATCGGTTTAGGGAGTGTGGGATCCATGCCGACGGCAAGATTGACAATCCCATCACGTGGTAGAGTCAGACTGTCAGTACTTGGTTATCGCATGACTAGTAGGATAGAGGTACTTCAACTGATGACATTTCTTTGTGATCAAAGTCTTCTTTGACCCAAAGCATGAGCCTTTCTTGCGTACAGCAGCTATGCCAGTTGGGTTGATGCAGGAGATCATCCACTTTCTTCTGCGTGTCTGAGTGCCCTTATTGAGCTTGTGTATACAAAGCACCAACTGGAAAAGCTGAGGCATGCCGATTTGTTTCGTCGGTTCCTTGGTTAGGCCTCTTTCTCGGCGACGACCATGGAAGTTACTAACGTTAGGTAGTGAACAGATTCGGTTCGTCATCACACGTCTTGTTCGTTGGCACCTGCATGAAAACTCTTCAGAAGGGTACCTAGAGATCGCCTGATCTTTCTGGGTCTGCGCAGCTCCATTTCCTGCCTTCTTGCTGCTGTCGTGGCTGCTGTCGTTGCTGCTGTCGTTGCTACGATCCGCTGTGGTTGTCTCCAATCGTCTCTATCGTTATTTCCATCGTCTTTTCTCCTCCCTGATCTCTGTTCTTCAAATCCCGCTGACACTCCTCGTTGCCTCATCAACACCCACGGATTTCGCCATGGATATCAAGGATGTCTCCGAGTCATCGGAGATGGCGTCCCAATTTCGAGCAATCCTCGACGATGCAGAGCGTTCCAACCGTCGGAATGGCGAGATTCCCCGCGACCATCTGCCTTCCTCCCTCTTGGTCGGCCAGTTCAACGCCGCGACAACTTCCAGAGGGCTTCCCGACGGGATGGAAAGAATGGTCACCACCCAAGTGCCTCCGCCGTACCCTCCCTGCACCCGTCCAGTCCGCACCCTTACGCTGCTGCCGATCTCAAAGATGAAGCTCCAGGAGCACCACCGCGGTCATCTCGTCATCGTCCGCACGCTTACGGTCACATGCAGACCCAGCGCAATCACGGTCATCGTAGAAGACGAAGAGGGTACCGCTGTCCTGCTTCAGTTGTACAATCAGCCGGAGGAGAGCCTCGTCAAGGCCGGCGACGTCTTGCCTCAAGGCAGCGTGTGCCTCATCAAGGAGCCTTTCTTCAAGGATACCCCGAGCGGCTCGTACAGTCTGCGAGTGGACCACGTTGGCGACATTGTCATTCTTTCCAGCAACGATGAGCGTGTCCCAGCGGTGTGGCGAGCGCCCAGAAGCATCGGCGGTGATTCTGAGCAGACTCGCTTGCAGGGCAACGCGGCGGTCGCCGAACAAGATTGGGGAACAGCTGAGCGCCTGTAAGTCTGACAATAACACTAGGTATCAAACAAGTTTGCACACCTAACATTTCGTAGGTACTCTGACGCAATCAGCTTCGCCACAACCATCCCAGAGCAGCAAGCAGCACTCCTGAACCGTTCTCTGGCAAACCTGCGCCTCGATCGCCCCGAAAAGGCGCTCGAAGATGCCCTCAGAGCTCGCGATGGCGGCGATCCGACCGAAAAGGGTCTCTTCCGTGAAGCAAAGGCTCATTATGCAATGGAGGAATTCAGCCTGGCCGAGAGCAAGCTTGTCGAAGTCCTTGACCTCAACGCCGACAACAAGGACGCCAAAACCGAGCTCAAGAAGACCCGTCATCGTCTTCACGAGATGCAAACCGGCGAGTACGCATGGAATCGGATGTACAAGCAGGCCAAAGCAACTCCACCTACTATCGACTGCGCGACGTACTTTTCGCCCGTCGAGGTGCGTGCCTCTCCGGGACGCGGTAATGGCCTCTTCATCACCAAGGCCGTCAAGGCTGGTGACCTGCTCCTCTGCGAGAAGGCCTTCGCCTACTGCTACGCCGACGAAGATGACCCCGCTAGTCGCAAGAATGTCAAGGTTTTGATGAACATGAGTACGAATCGATCGAGCATGGGCGGCCAGGCCAACCTCGTGTCCTCCGTTGTACAGAAGCTGCACCACAACCCATGTCTGATGCCGCGTTTCATAGACCTTCACCGAGGAGGTTACCGCGCCGTCAAGCCGGCTGAGGGAGAGGATCCCCCGGTTGACACGTGAGTGCATCTTTCTCTGCGTCACCTACGATCCTTTGGCTGACTCTCTCCCAGGTTCCTCGTAGAGAGAACCGTCAGCCTGAACTGCTTCGGCGCCCCGCGCACGATGCTTGCCAACCTCCCACAACCCGGCAAGAAAGTGGAAATCGGACACACTACCTGCGGCATCTGGACCATCGCCTCCCATATCAACCACTCTTGCTTGGAAAACTGCTGCCGCTCCTTCATCGGAGACGTCATGATCATCCGCGCGTCGCGGGATATGCCTGCTGGCACAGAGCTGGTCTTTTGCTACCAGTCAATCGACATCGGAGACGACTATAAGGCGACTCAAAAGCGATTCTCGAAATGGGGCTTCACCTGCGAGTGCGAGCTGTGCCTCAACAAGAAGATGACGCCAAATGCAGTCTTCATGAAGCGCCAGGCTATTCGGGAGGATATGATTCAGGCCCTCCGGGGTTGCAAGACGTCTCTAGCTCAGGAGCGGGAAGCCCTGAGACTTGTGCGAGAGCTTGACCAATGCTACCCGAGCCGTGAGGGAGCTCTGCGTTTGGGGTCCTGGGACGGCTATCTGTCCCTCGGCAAGTGCTCCCTGGCGCGCGGCAAGATGAGGGAGGCCCTGGCGCGCACGATCAAGGCGTTGGAGGCAACAGGCTTCATCTTCGAGAACACGTCAATGGAGGATATGCGCAAGGGATCGAAGCCAGCCATCAAGAGATGGGGCGAGCTCTCCAGCTGCACGGCTGGGGCTTTCACTTCAATGTCGCGCGCTTACGCAGTTCTCGCGCCGCAGCTGCAGAAGTGGGCGAAGGACCAAGCCCGCACGGCGCATGTCATCCACATAGGCGAGGGCGAGACAGTGGGCACCGTGCATGAGTATCATAACTAGAGTAGACTGAGGCTTAACTAGAAGGAGTAGGCTGAGGGAGGTATAGAGAAGTAGACTACCCTGGACTACCTATATTCCCTACAAAGTGACTAAGTAAGTTTGCTGTGTACTCGCTATCATCGTCGTCGTCGTTCGTCGTTGTCGTCGCTATCGTCGGTCTTCGTTATCGTCACCGCTATCGTCCGCCGTCATCCTACCACAAAGTTGCTGCCGCCCCCCACGCCGAGTCGAATGAGACGAGACCCACTGTTGCGACTCGATGAAGTCGATGAAGTCGATGAAGTCAATGAAGTCGATGAAGTTCCCAGGTCTTCGGGTGTTGTGGCTAGGGCACGTCGCCTGTTGCAGGCCGAGAGGGTTAGTGAGACATGAAGGAAGACGCACTGAGGAAAGTCGCAAAGAAAGTCGCGAATGGTCGATTCGTATGTTAGTATCAATTCGATGTTCCTCTCGTTAATTGGCCGTCCGCATCCCGAAGGCCCATCTCAAGAATCATACACGCCCCAACGCCATGGTCCCGACTTGTCCCAACAAGACTTCTATCCTCTCAACGTGCCATAATCCATAGCGGAAACCATGCCAACCATTGGTCCCTGTATCCATATGACATGGAACACTCCGCCCGTTCTTCTTCCTTCGACCTTGTCTAAACCTTTGGATAATTCGTCTCGTACGTAACCCCATAGTTCTTGAAATACCGAAACTCCTTAATGGACACGACCGACGTCTGGAAAGCGAGAACGCTGCAGTAACACACGTATCAGCAAACCTCATCAAAAGGATAGAACGGGAAGAAAGAAGGGAAGCCAGTCGCAAACTCACATCAAGACCGCGCAAAGCAGCGTCACAATCCAACTCAGCGCACAACTCGCCCCCGTGCAGAACGTCGTGTTCGCCGAGAACAACAGCCCGAACGCAACGAACCAGAACACAATCTCCATCGTGTTGAGGATCGCGTTGGCCTTAAGTGAGGCCCACTTCTTGAAGCGCTCCTTGTGCCCGGTGAGGAGCTGGTAGCCGATGATGATCAAGGATTTGATGCCCTGTTCGGTGGTCCAAGATCAGCGGCCATTCAGAGAAGTCTTGAGGCGGTGGGATGAAGGGGGGGCGAACCATGGTGAGGGCCATCATGTTGGCTCGCGTGGTGATGACGGGCATGGCCATGCGCGCGATGGTGAGGATGATGGCGGTGGTCATGATGACGAGCTGGAGGATGTGGACCTTGGTCTTGTGGCGAGGGTCGAAGAAGGGCTTGTCGAAGAATGTTCTAAGTTTGTCCATGATGGAATCTTCCTGCTGGAGTAGTGACTGCTCGATGATGTTGACGTTGTAGTGACGGGAGATGCTGTGCACGGCGGGCAGCTGCGACTGTGGTGAAGCGAAATGGTCTGAGTAACTTGGATCCTGAAATATCCAAATCTCACAACAAATCCAGGCGGGATGGTAGGTATTTTATCAAACCCCCGCCAAGCCCTCCCATTTTCGTTGTTTATACGCATACGCATTCATCTCCAGTGACAGACCGTCTCCAAGGGCATATACGGAGTACACGTATAGCGAGGCCATCTGTACGCGTATAGAAAATCGTAGCTGGACCCTGCGCTGTCCCTCCACACTGAAAAAGACCCTCACTCCACCGTGCCGCCACGCCTATCTGCTCGGAGAATTTCCCATAGGCTGTGCTTTTGTTAGCCTATTTCACAGTTAGCCGCATGGTGCATCGCCCCTTTGAGTTTGAAGAGGCTTAGATCTCGTCCGTGTGGCATGCATGAACCCGACAGCTTGGCTCTGGGCGGATTGGGTAACCCGTCTCCATACGTTAACATTTAGATGGCATTTTTCTGCGTCCGAAACGGCTTGGGATAAGGGGCTAAATAACAAAATCTATACGCGTTTTTCTTACTGCAACCAAAACGTTCAACTCCAATCCACCACGCAACCTCAGTCAACCTTCCCCTCCCTCCTCTCCCGCTCAACCTTCTTCTTATACTCAACCCAATCATCACTCCTCGGAAACGGCACACCCTCCGGCACACCCTCCGGCACATCGACCCCCAGAAACTCACAAAGCGGCCCCCACCCGTCCCCCGGACAAAACTCCAAAAACCGCCTCCCGCCCTCCCCCAACGCCCTCACCTCCGCGTGGTGCCGCTCCCAATACCCCCTCCCGTTCTCTCAAAGTCGTCCCCCCAGCAGGCCGAGTGGTACGCCGCCGCCAACCCCTCCATGGGACTCCTCTTCTCCCGGTCGCGGTTGACGAACCCGTGGATCAGCGTGTCGCGCATCGACGCCGCCCAGGACTCCAACGAGCGCGTGGAGAGGATGATGGGGCAGGCGGGGTACGCGGCCTCCAGTGCCGTGGGGAAGAGCGCGGGCGGGAAGTCGGAGACGGCTTCGTAGGGCGCGAGGATGATGTCCCACTGCTCGCGGGTCCAGGGGGTGGTGGTGATCTTCTTCTGCTCCGTCGGGGAGAAAGCCGGGATGTGGTCCTCGATGGCGCGGATCCAGAACTCCTGGTGGTAGTCGACCCCGACTTCGCGCATGTGGTAGACGGGGCTGATGCCGAGCTGGATCAGCGCGTCGGCGAGAGCTGCGGCGAGACCTGTCAGTATGTGTTGTCATGGCATGAAAAGAGGAGGGAATAGCCATTGGATAGCCTACATTGGGTTCCTGTCCTAGGAAGCCCGAGAATCAGGACTTTCATCTTGGGTCACGGTGTGGGCTCAGATGACGGGCTGCTTTCTTCAAAGGAATTTGCTTGCTGGTGTTGGCACATGTAGTACGAAGAAGGCTCATCGCCGCGACGTCGAATCCTATTTAAAGACTTCTGGAATTGGGTTCGTGACGCATTAGATGAACCTTGAAGTGATCTGGCAGTGGTTATCGGCAGCCCGGCGTTTGCCCCAACCCCCGGTTTGACCCGCTGTGGAGGTCAGGTGAGTTGCCGGGATAGGAAGGCGGGACGGGGAGGGACCGGGTCGGAAGCCTTGAAGGATGTTGAAGGATTCGGCCCCTCTCCGCGGGGTATGCCGGGCGTCAAATGCATTAGTACGCACCAAAAAGAACATTTCCCAGTAACACGGTGGTGGTTCACGCTCTAGATCAACAACAACGGGAAGACTTCTAGCCGATATCACTCTGCAATGGTCACGCGTCTGGAGAAGGCTAAGGGTGGTGAGAGCTGATCAAACTCAGCTCGCTTTATTGCCGCTCATGGCTGGAGTTTTCACTCTACAGCCGACTGATGCAAGGTATTTCTGTTTAAATGAGTGTTGAAAGAATCGAAAATGAAACCCTAAGCCGTGAAGCCTGTCAGGCTGATGTTGAATAGCCCCAAATTCTGATTTCCATGCACCGGAGTTATGTCCGGCTCGAATCCCACAAGTCGCACTGACACCAAGGCGCCGTTTTGTTGAACCACTTCATCGTTTCCTCCCGTTCGCTTTGCAGCGAATTCGTTGTCATTCTAGGATGGCAGACTAGACCTGATCGACAGGAACGCGAGGGTTCATGCCGAGACCGAGATGGCGCTTCACGGCCTTCCAGCACTCAATAAGAGCGATGTACACGACCAGGCAAGCGGCAACAATACCCCACTCCCAAGTGATCATGTCATGCTTGAAAACAGCACGGTTGACCACAGGCAAGTAGATGACGGGGAAAGTCAATACGAAACCACCAGCGACAGCCCAGAAGAGGAAACGGTTCTTGTAGACAGTCTTGAAAACAGCAAACGGACCGGTCCACAACTCGGGGTTCATGTTGAACAAGCTGCGCTGGAAGTGCTTGACTTCCCAAGAGGTAACCAGGAGCAGGAAGCTCAGGGTGGCATAGACGGTGGAGCGAGCTCTGAAGACAACACCGCAGGTGTCGTTGTAACCGTCGTTGCACATGCTTCCGAGGTCTCCGCCACCAGGGCCGTAAGCAACGGAGGTGAAAGCGGCGAGACATAAGGAGCCCATGTAGAAACCGTAGATCATCTTGTCGCGGATCAGATCCCAGGTGAAAACACCAATGCCGAGGTCGTGGGGTGCGCGCAAAAGAATGTCCGGTTGAGCCTCCTCCAAACCCAGACCAATGGCCAGGAACGAGGAAGTAATGAGGTTGACCCACAGAATCTCCAAGGGGGAGAGGGGGAAGATGGAAGTTCCACTGCGGTCCTTGAAAGAAAGTCCAATCAAGAGAAGGATGACCTGGGCAATGTTGGAAATCAGGAGATGGAGCAGGAACTGATCTACGTGTTAGTCTGAGCTCACAAAACGGGAAGGAAATCAACTACCTTCTGGATATTGTCAAACAAGCGACGACCCTCCTTGATAGCAGTGACGATAGATGAGAAGTTGTCATCAGTGAGAACCATATCTGCTGCCTCCTTGGAGACGTCACTGCCTCTCTTGCCCATCGCAATACCAACATCCGCCTTCTTGAGAGCGGGGGAGTCGTTCACACCGTCACCAGTCATGATACAGTAAGCCTTGCGACGATGCATCGCCTCGAGCATTCTGACCTTGGTCAGTGGGCTGCAGCGGGCGACGACGAGGGGAAGAGCGGGAAGAGCATCGACCTCCTCATTGCTGAGGGCGTCGAATTGACCAGCCGCCATAACAGCTGTCGGCTGCTCCCCTCCGGTGAGAATGCCGACTTCGTGGGCAATGGCAGTTGCAGTCTTAATGTGATCTCCAGTGACCATATGCACAGAGATGCCTGCAGTTTTGCAAAGCTTCACAGCGCCAAGAGTCTCGACACGGGGAGGATCGTACAAGCCGGCAAGACCTAGGAAGCGAAGCTTGCACTCAGCCTCGTTTCTTTCGCTCGCATTGTCGTCGCTGTCGAGGAACCTGTGAGCGACGCAGAGGACTCTGAGACCTTCGGAGGCAAGCTCGTCGGCCTTGGCGGCGATCTTGGCCTTGACAGCTTCCGGCTCAGCCAGGCGCTGCAGCATAACCTCAACGGCACCCTTGGTGAATACTTGGCGAGGGGCCGAGGGGAATTCGTAGACAACACTCATGAGCTTGCACGAGGAGTCGAAGGGAAACTCATAGAGCATCTTCGTCTTTTCAGACGAGACGAGGTCGTTCTTTCCCTTTCCGTAACGCATAGCGAAGACCTGGAGGGCGATCTCGGTGGGCTCGCCAATAGCGGACCATGAGACGGGCACCTCGGTGGCGGTGGTCATGGACTCAGTGTCGGTAGCCGTCTTGCCATCGGTAACGGAGGCATTGTTGCAGAGCGCAATAGCCTTGAGAAATGAGCCCATAGAAGAGGTCTGGATGGTGTCGTCGGTCTTCTCAACCGTCGGGGTCGACGCTCCACTAGAGGCCGAGCTCGATGCGGCGGAGCCGGGCCATCTAACCGTGCCGCTGGTCGGATCATAGGGGTCGGTAGTGCCCTCAATGATGGCAGTTGTGTCTTCGGCCAGCCAGATTTTCCTGGTAACCATGCGTCCCTGGGTAAGCGTGCCAGTCTTGTCGGAGCAGATGTTGGTCACACCTCCAACGGCTTCGAGAGAAGACAGCTTGCGGACAATAACGTTGCCAGACGCCATTGCCTTGGTACCAACAGCCATGGTGATGGTCAAAACTGCGATGAGGGACTCAGGAATAACGGCCACTCCGACGCAAATACCATAGATGAGGACCTGGTCATCAATGTCGAACTTGCTGACGGAGAAGACAATGATGGCAAGCAGAATGGCTAGGCCGAAAAGTAGAAGGGCAAACTTGCTCAGCTTGACCTGAAGGGGAGTGCCCTCAAGACCCAGGATGCTCTTCATGGCAGCCTTGAAGCGCATAACAGCGCGCTTGGGCAGAGAGGCGTTCTCGTCTCGCTTGCGGGTTGTGCGCAGCATCATGGCAATCTTTCCCACCTCGGTCTCCATGCCGGTAGTGGTGACGATGCCGCGAGCGCGTCCGCGAGTGACGGTAGTAGCAGAATAGACCATGTTGATGCGGTCGCCGAGAGGGATGTCCTCCTCCTCGAGGATGGCTTCAGGGTGCTTACTGATGGGTAGCGACTCGCCAGTCAGGAGGGCCTCATCGATAGAGAGGTTGATACCCTCGAGAAGACGGAGATCGGCTGGGACGACATCGCCAACAGCGATCATGACAAGATCGCCCTTGACGAGTGAATCTGCCTTGACAGTCTCCGCGATACCGTCGCGGACGACCTTACATGTCGGGGCGGACAGCGCGTACAGAGACTGAATTGTCTGCTCGGCATTGTAGTCCTGAATAAAGCTACGAGATTGTCAGCAGCGAGATTCGAATAATCGGCGAGTGTGAGACGTGAAGCTGGTGGAGATGAATGACACGGGCAGGGGCAGGGGATGCGCCACACCGCCAACACCCTTGTACACCCCTCTGGGCGAGTGGCCGGGAGGGGTGTCACCCAACCCACGGGCGGCGCAAGTGGTATTCTGTTCAACCAACCACACTATTCAGCCACTCCACCAAACAGGCAAGTCAAAGAAGTACCCGCGTGTGCAGCAGAAGCATCGGGAGAAGAGGACAGAAGAGAAGGCAGGCTATGCTAAGGTAGAAAGCAAAATGAGGGGGGCAAAGACTCACCCCACGACAATGTTCAGAAGAATGACGGCGGTGATAACGCCGCCTTCAATGTAATCTTGAATGGCAAAAGATAGGATCATGACGATCACGAGAACGAGGGTCAGACTGTTGGAAATCTGTCTCATGACAATCTCCCAAATGGAGAGGCCCTTGGCACCCTCGATGCGATTGGGCCCATCACGGTCGAGGCGGGCTTGCGCCTCAGCCTTGGAGAGGCCATTTTCAAGGTCGGTCTGCCAGAGAAATCCTATGTCCGAGGCAGGAGCGGCGTGGGCAGGCCGTTGAGGGACGGGGTTGGGTATGGGCGGGGGCCGCGGTATAGACGGTGGCTCGTCCTGCTCGGGGTTGACTTCCGCAGCAGCTGTGTGTTGTTCACCATGCCTGACGGCTTCGGGTTCTCCCATCGGATATCGGTAGGTTCAGCTAAAGAAGGCGCTCGAGATTCAAGGTTGTTGGTGCTTTTATGAAAGCCCGGCAGACGAAAGTCTTGTTGAAGAGTTGACGAGAGAATGGCAAGCGTAGAGCTTGGGTGATCGGGGTGGTGATAAGGAGAAGAAGAGAAAGGAAGGGTGGAACAAGAGCGGAGGGTGGTGTCAAGTTATACTTGAGGCCCGGGCGAGGGGACTTGTGCCAAGGGAGGGGAAGACGGGCCAGGTTCAAAGTAACAAGTGCTGAATAGCGTATGGATGGTGGTAGCTGGGAATGAAGATGGATGTATCCGTCAGGTCCCTTCCGTCGGGGTCTTGGTTCTTGGGTGTTTGGGGGGTGTGCGAGTACTGGAAACAGACAACGGCGGCCGGTCGGGGGAGGTAAATGGAGACGAGCGAACGGGACTGGCTGGGGCGCCAGGATTGGTAGTGAACGTAGGGCCGAAGAAGTGAAGACCGAAAGGCAGTGGAAGGTATCCGTCGGTCGATTGAGTATGGTGCGTATGCGGGCGTGGACGTGTGTCTGTCTCTCTCTCTGTACGGCTACCGCCCCGTGCCGGTCTGGCAGCGCAACTGTTAGTGAATGAGCCAAGGGAAGTGGTGGGAGGGATGGGCGGCGTGGGATGATGGCATGTAAGGTACCTGTTCCATGGAAGACAGGGAAGACACGTCTAACGTAGCGACGACGACGAATAACGAACGAACGAACCTGTGGTGGACAGCTTGGCGATTGGCAGGGGTTCTGGTTGGATGCTTGTTGATGTGCTTGGGAAGAGGCACGGATTGCGTTGGATGAATCCGATGTAGAGTAGCAGGGCCTCGTGGACGGCAAGATGAGGCGAGGAAAGTCAACCTTGGGGGAGAAAAAAAAAAAAAAAAAGGCAGATGCTGGGCTGGGTGAGGAATCGCACCTTGCCCTGCTTGTGGCTGGTGGCGGCTGCAAGATGAACTTGGGAAGGGACACTACCGACGCAATGGCAAGAATGAACAAACGGCGCAGGTGCCTTTCGGGTTGGTGGTCGCTTCCTTCTTTCCAATTGCTGGAAGTACTGCCTTCCAAGCGTTGTAGGAAAGCGCAACAGCGAGACTGCCAAATCCAACAGGGAAGCGGCGATGGAAGGAAGACACCAGCAACAACACTACACTACACTACACGTAACTGCCTTCCAGTCGGCTTGGTGGCAGGTGTTTCGCCTGGTGCCACAGGGCATCATCAGCTGGGGGAAACAGGCACTAACACCGAGCGGGAGCGCAAAGTGGAAAGGGTGAGATGTTGCCAAGAACATGCGCCCTCCAGTCATCGTCGTCTGCGCCCTGTTTCCCTGCTTTCCCCAGCGGTCTCGTGGACAGCGGAACAGTGGAAACAGCGCAGTCCAGCCCCTGCAGTGCAGTCGAATGGCGAGAAACGCAGTGACGCATCGCCGTCACAGCCCCTACAAGCACCAAACCAGTGGCCAAATGCCTTCGCACTGGTCTCAGTCTCGTCGTCTTGTCTTTTCCTGGCGTGCCCGCTGTGCTATCCGCTGCTGTCGTGTCCCGGGGAGCATCGATCGGTCGCTGTCCACTCGTGGGGAGGCCGGGTGTGGAGCTCACAGCGGCGCCGCCAAGGAGCACCGATGTCCGCCGAGAGCGGGCTGGTCGTCGTCATCAGGGAAGGAGGAAACCGGCCGCCCAATCACGAGGGGCGGAACCGCTAGGGGGACGGACGGCGCTTGGCCTGCTGATAGGGGCGACAAGAGTGGCAGTGCACGCACTTCGTCCAAACGCAGCTGTCAACGACAGGCACAAGCAGTAAAAAGATACGGACGATAGAAGAGGCGAGGGGAGACCAGACGGGATACTCAGGATATCTACTACGGAATACACAAAGAGATACCTGGCTCCTGATTGCTGCTACTGCTATCTACATTCCTAAGTACAACTAATACATCAAACCCTACTTGGGTAGGTGCCTCAGGCGAGGTGAAGCTCCATCTAATTCACTGCGTTTTCTAGCAGCGGCTCTTGGCGAGAAACACTAGCGCCGTTAGCCCCACCACCTTTACCTTCCATTCCAGAAGAGAAGCAAGAAGGAACCACTGAGGGAAGGCAAGAGCACCACAGCACCACCACAGCACCTGCCTCCCCTGCACCCACCGACTGACTGCTCCTGCTGCAATTGCAACAGTACTCGCTCACTGTGAAAGAAGTGCTCCCGCTTATCTGCGGATATTCCTTCCTCTATCCGATGCAAGTATCCCTTCATATTGAAATCCTACCAAGGCTACATCACATCAGATGACACTCTTTCCCCCACTGCAACTGTTCAGATAAGTCGGGCTTTCCATGCGGCCCCTGCAAAGCCAATTCACACTCACCTCAGGCACGCCAAACCGAACTGCTGCGCCAAGCTCCTCGTCCCCTCACCTTCGCTCGCCGTCTCCTCTGACAGACAACGCCTGGACTGGACGACATCATACCAAGAAATTCGATGCCTTGATTTCTATTTCCGTTTGGGCACTCACTCGTGCCCCTGCAACTTCTCTACTCCGTGTCGAAATCCGCGAGCACCTGGCCATGCTATCATTGCACGACTCCAGCACCCAAGCATCGGTGGGAATCTGCTTTTCTCTTTCCAGCCATCAAAAACGCGAAATACTAAGCTTGTCTAAAAGCTCTCGCGAACCAAGATGGAAAACGTTTGGCGCCTGGTGGAGGGAGGAGCCCTGTTCATCAGTCCATCGCCGTGATGTGGAAGGATTCTGACTTCCCTCCGTCGACGTCGGCAGCCAATCGCGCAATCCTGCATCCACATGCTCGCCAACCAGGAATGGTAGGTGAGCACGGCGCAACCCCGACATCCCAGCCGCTCCTACACCGGTCACAGGTCTGATGGATTGCTGACCTTCATCGCGCTTCCAGCCCATCCGCTTGGCTTCGCTTGAGCCTTCGTCTTCTCGTACATTCCGCCCGCTTGAAGCACGCACCTGGCAACCTGCATCTCTCTGGCATTCGCAGTCCATGGCAACTTGCATTCTCCCGCAACCCAGGACTTTCTGTTCCACCATTCGGCTATCTGCGCGTATCTCTTCCTAGAGGTGAAATATCAAACAGAACGGGTCGCATATCAACGTATCAGTCCTGCAGCATTTGGCACATGACCGCTGTTCCGGCGATATAACCTGTTATCATCGAATCGTCATGCATACTTTGAGCCAAGAAGCTCATATGTGGTGGGCTCCGACAAGCATCTTGCCCATTCTTGCTTTTCCGTTTGCTACTTTACCGCCCACTTTGGTCACGAACGAGGTGCTGAAACTATCGGGAAGTCCCAGTGGCCTGAGGAAGCAATTCCAGCGGACACCGATTTGTTGGTCACGCACCAGTTGATACTACAGGACGCAACTTTGCAGGCTCAGCGAGATATCCCAAACGACACCAACCGGGGCTTTCCTGCAATAGTTGCTGCACCAGATCCATGCTCTCGCGTCGACTTGCCTTGTTACATCTCAACAAACTAACACCCACATCAACATCGTCGAGATAATTACAGAAGATCCAACCTTCTTCGAGCAGACATTAAATGCTGTCCGGCGACTTGAGCACTGCATGACAGGCTCGTGCGGCAAGCCGGACAAAAACATGCCTCGCCATACCAGAGGTCGTTGACAACGAGAAGAACCGAGATGCGAAAGCACGTTTGGGAGATGGCTGGCAAACAGCCACGTATTCAGACGCCCAATCCGCACGTGCTGCAACCCCATTTGGCATTTGCTAAGCTTAATCCCCCCATAGTTTTGCGCCAATCCGGTCCCATCCCGGAGCTTAGATCTGTCTGCCGCGAGATGACAGGTGTGGGGGTCCTCCATGTTGCCAACCTTTTGCCAATCCTCGCTAAAGTATCGCCCAGCTGCTGGGAATGGGAACATGAAAAGACGTCGAAAGAAAATTATCAATAAAATACAGGACATGAACCATGGGCCCATTGCATGCCGGGGCCGGGTGAGGAGAATGGATCTCGGTCACGAAACGCGGGGAGAATAATCCACTCGACACCAACAACTCGGCCTCCCTTGCCGGAACGTGACGGGCGCATCGGGTGTTCTCCACGCATATCACGGTCTCGGAGGTCAGAAGACGAAATCTGGATGCCGAACGCTCCCCATCCCTTCAATGATAATCGCCGCCGTCCAGCACTGCCCTGCGGGGTCATTGCTCGGCGCTCACCAAATGTCTGGGCATCATCAGTTCCCTGCGCCCAACATTTACTGTCGGGAGATATCGTAACGAGAACTGCTGGACAGCATGAGGAACGACTGTCGTTGAGATTGACGACATTGAGCGGGAGCCTCAACGTTTGATTGAGGAGCGGGATTTGCAGCCAGCGGCGGCATCGGGTGGGTTCCGCGGCTTCGGAGCGAGTAGAGAAACATGGAGCGCCAGACCAGGCATGGCAAGTCTTGCTTAAGCATAACCATAAGCGCTGTTGGCGGCATGTTGTGCCGTAGGGGAGGGGAAGACGGGAGCTTATGGCCCTGAGAGGTGGTGCACCCCAGACACATAGGCCCCGGCCTCCCTTCGCTGGCTGCGCTGGTTTCAGGGCTCCCGGACACACAACATGTCGCCTGGTTCAGCCTTTCAAGCCCCTGTGGGTGCGCCATCTGCGAATGCGGGGGAGGGACCAACGGGCGGGTAAGGCAAATGAATTCTACCTACGGATACCTCAAGGTGCCTGAGGTGGTTCGGTAGACGGGAAAGACCTCTGCCTCCGCGACATTGCCAGCTGGTGCGGGACGTTGTCTTGAGGAAGCACCACGAACGCCATGGTCCGAATACCATTGGTAAACCGAGGGGGCGTCTCGTCCGAACACTTCGACAATGTAGCTATGGCGCTTGCCAGGCTACCAGGGAAAAATTCGCCTTCTGATCATCATTCCCGCCTTAATGGATTTTCACCTGGTAACAATCAGATGGACAACAGACGTTTCCCAGCCCGCGTCAATGTAGGTATGCAGTACAGGTTGGATATCCGTTGTCGACACTCCCCTTCGTCGCTAACATAACGCAGCCAAGATCAGTCTATGGCACGGCCAAGGCTGAAGTGGTTCATAATTACAACTTGAATCCTCTACTTTCCGGAATACAGCCCACACGCTGCTTAAATATACACTCCGATACCCATGTGTATGTTACATTTGCTCCGGCAAGATGAGTCCATCGGGTGGCCAGCGTCCTCGCCCGTCATGGCCGCCGCGAAGGCTATGCCAGAGAGGTGAGAGCACCCCTCGGAGTGCCGAACCTACTCGCATCGGACGCCGGCGCCTACGCGGTATAATCCCATGAGCAGCTGGATGTCCAAGTATGCGTCTCCGCTTCTCATCGGAACCCGTGGCCTCAAGTCCTTGTCCAAGGAGTCTCGAGAATACTTCGACGCCATTTTGAAGGTCGGCCAAGTTGAGCAGCCAAGCTCGACGTCCCCTGTTTTGAGAAAGAAACGAATCATCGGCGTTCATTACTACTTTTATCGCCAAATATGAGGGACCTAGCTGGATGCTTGTGGTCACAAATGCTATGGTATCAAAGAGTCCAACGCCAGCAGGCCCATGAGCTCATCATCGCTGTCATCCCCATCTTCCTGGAATGCTTCCATCTTCTGGTCGTCATTATGAACGGCACGCACTCTTTCAAAAGGTATCTGGCACCTGATTTCGTCTTCACTAAACCAGGTACCATGCAATCCGTATGGCACACGCTGTGGTAGCTTTATTCTTGCAACCACACTCTTCATTTCCTTAGCGTCGATTATCCAAAGCTCGCTCGCGGCGTTAGGGCGACAGACCCCCTTGCTGTCAAGTTGTGATTCGTCAAAGACGTAAGTCAACAACCACCCGTCATCCTCCGTCTGCGGCTGCGATCGAGCCACAAAGCGTGGCTCCTGGGCATACCAGCCCTCGGGCATCTTGAACAGCTTGATTGGGTCTTTCGGGTCCTTACTCTCCAGAACCTGAGTCACATTGCGTGTGTCAACACAGCCTTTGACTGGTTGTGGGGGGTTCGCAATTCCTCGGTTGATCAGCGTACGGACGTCGACCTTGGCCAAATGGTCAATCTTGGCCGCTTTGCCAAGCGCGACGGTGTAGGAGGCCTCTCCGGTCGAGCAACCGTAAACGTAACGAGCCTCTTGCATCGAGTACTCCGGTGATACAGTGGGAAACTCGAGTGAGATGGCCGACAAAGCCCATTGATGTCGGATGTTGAACTGGACGCCGGGGATGCCTGACAGGGGGAAGTTGTAGTAGTAGAGCCGACACTGCTCTTCCTCTGCATACTCAGGCGGGACCGGCTTCACTTCTGGTGTAGGGAGATTGCCTGCGCTGAAGACTAACGATGCGGATGTGAGCCGGCAAGCAATCAAGTTGACTGACGTTGTCGGCCCATTGAGATCAGTTGGTGCCGATACCGAGTCCCAGCAATTCGCAGTGTGGAAGATAGTGCATGGGTTGGTCTCAAACCATTGGACCGCGTCAGGTCGATGCCGGGGGAAGATTCCAAACCGCGACTTGCCTGCGGAATCGTATGACAAGCTGGCGACACCACGGATCAGGTTCATCGGGTCGAGTGAAAGCGGGAGGTCCATGATGACGGTGTGCCGCCGGGACACACCAAAGTCGTGCATCATCTTCGGCGACTCAACTCCGGGAACTGCCACATCGAACATGGCCTGGCTTGTTGCTAGTTTCGACGATGTCGGAGGAACGACAGAGTACCGCACAAAGGGCTTGATGAAGGTTGAGTGGAAGGTAATGAGCTCCTTTGTGACTGGATCAACGCGCGGGTGGGCGGTAGTCCATTCCTTCATGAAGGACGTGACACCGGTTCCACCAAAACCGCTTTCGCTGGTACTCCTCGGCTCGTTTTCAGCAACTCGTCCATTGAACCAGCCGATGGTCTCGAGGCTCGGCAGAGCAAATCTCAGAGGCGGCCCGCTTTCGCATGTTGCCAGCGCGCGACCGTTGTGGAAAAGCACACTGGTATTCGCGACGCTAATCTTCTTGATCGATCGCCCAGTCCCAGGAAGTCGTGACAGGAGTACCAGGAATATGGTGCGAAAAACCTCAAAAATGATGCGGAACATGCTGAGGGCTGGGTTTACAAGCGTCGCAATGCTGGGCAGGACGGGCCGACGTAGAGACTTGCTCTCTTTGGCGTAACAGTAGACGTCCGTCAACAAGTACTGGTTCACGAACTCGGGCTGGATTTGGGTCTGCTTCTCGCCCACGCGCCGAAAGAGGACCCCGCTGAGCATGCCGTCGCCATCAAACCAATGCGCAGCTCGAGTTGGGTCGTCATTAGTGAGGGGGTTACCGCCATTGCGAACATACTGGCCTCCTGCGAGGTCAACTGGTATCGTGCCCTCATACGAGCATGCTGTCAACGGAAGACATGACTGGATTGGGGCAAAGTTGCCTGAGAGATAGCTGTCGCGCGTGTCAGCACCGCCTTTTCTTCGACCAAAGGGAATCCATTGTACTCACGGATGATGCTTATCATCTTCATGAAGAGCATCGTTCGCCATCTTCAGCGCCGCTCAATGTCTGGGTGGAAGACTGATGTCTCAGTCTCACAACGGCTCTCAGAAGCTTGGCGACCAGGCACGCAAGAAAGCCACTATGGGAAAGAAAAGACAGGACCAACGTCCGGTATGTCTAGTTAATCCTTTCAACAGATGACAGGTCAAAACCAAGACGGCCCGTCGAAGTCCACGCTCACGGTGGGTAGTATCGCACTGTTCTGAAGACGGTCAGAATGATTTCACATTCCCAACCCCACGATTCACGACTAGTCGATTATGTGCCGAAGTTGCGGTGCCAAAACACCTGACTACTACCATCAACCGACCAGAGCTTTGAGCTAGATGACGACATGGGACGAAGAAGCTCGGGGGTTCGGGGGTGCTCAGGTCTTAGTGCCCAAAGCTCCTGTCACGTAGCTCGCTCGCGCCCTGCCTTGCCAACTCAGATTATCAGTCCAAACAAAAGCGGGGGAAGAACAACTCAAAGAAACCGGTCCCCGCTTCTGAGATTCCTGATGCGGTGCCATCAAGAAGTCGATGGCTAATGAGAATGGCCAATCTTTGAGTTGCCAAGAGAGCCTGGTCAGGGGTGCAAGGCAAGCTTTCGCAGAGCGTCAAACGCCTGGGGAAGATTTGTGTCTAGCCCGAACTGCATGGTCATCAGACCCATTTCTGATACATGGGTGTCGGGAGAGAAAGAGAATGAGAATCAGAATCGTGGGTGTGAGACCAGATCGGGAGGCTGGCTTGGCGATCGGCGCGGGCTGCAGGTCAAAAAAGCAGCCAAGGAGGAGCTAAAAGCTTCTTCATCGCTTCCCATGAGGGACGAATCGCCGTTGGAGGCGTTGTTTCGAGCTCCAGAGTCTAGGTTCTACCTCGAGGGGGGACCGGCGTTCGTTCTCGCGTGCAGAAATGCAAGAAAATATGCGGCCAGTGACATGACAACTTGGCGAAAAGTGCGTTTGCCGGCGCTAGCTCCGGGCATTGTGGGACCCGGGAATACCGCTCGGCAGCATCCGGTGCAGAGCCCGGACAAAGTGGTGACTTCATCGACACGAAGTCTTTATCCGCGGTGCAGACGCTATGTGCTGTTACCCAATTCTGGCAACCGAGTGGACGAATTACCTAGCGGTGACTCGTCGCAAAGTGCAGCTCCTTCATCACCAGGTCGCTGCCCTTGTTCTCTCTCGTGTCAGTGGGAATGGGCCTAGAATGCTGAACCTCGTCATAGACTGATCACGTCGGAAATACGGCTCGCAACTCGGCTAGCTCCTTTTTCAGTAGCGGAACACGCAACAACATCCCTTTTGGCGCGTTGCAATATCATTCGCAACGCAGGGAAACTTCGTGCCCAAAAAGCAAACATGGCTGGGCAAGCTTTCAGTCGATTGCCGTAGCGCCCGTCGTAGTGGCAGCCCCGCGTCTTGTCTCTGTCGTAGGTGCGTTTCCACGGGCGGAGGCTACCATCCTGTCTGCCAGCTGATGGTGTCCTCCTTTGGGGAAACAAAAATGCCCGTCTGTTCGCGCCCAAACGTCCGAGCAAGCTGCCCAGCGCGCCATCGCGAGTCTAATCGTCATCCGGAGCTCATGGTGCGCCGCGACCGCAACCACGATGTTACCTGTATCCTGTATGTCATTTGTCCAATGGGACGTGCTCACTACAGCCCGACCTAGCGAAAGCATTCATGGCTAGATGCGGAATTGTCGGCAGGGGGGTTGGGCATCTGTGTTCTAGTCTCGAGTGTAAATCAGATGTTGTGTTGCGACTGGGCAGCACTGTTACGAGTACGGATGAGGATATATTGGGTGGGTTGAACCCCTCTTGCTCCTCCCTCAGCTCCCCAGAGTCGCAGTGCCTCAAGAAGCATAACGACCCCCCGAATTTCTGTTCCAGCTCTTGCTTCATCATCCCCATATACTCGAGAACAAATCATCCCTATGCAGCAAGTTTTGGTTGGTCACATAACACGAGCAACCACAATGGCCAACGACGCCCTCAACACCAACCGACGCGTCGGCGCCCAGGCCGACCTGGCCGTCACCACCCGCGGCTCGGATTGGTACTTCGCCGTCTGCGCCATCATGGCCGTCTCGACTCTCGCCTTCCTCGGCATGGGCATGGCTAAGCGCGAGACGCACCGCCTTTTCCACTACATCACGGCGTCCATCACTTTTGTTGCTTGCATATCGTACTTTTCCATGGGCGCCGGCCTCGGCCAGACACCTGTTCTGGTCGAGTTCCCCCGCCCCAACGACAGCCAGGTCTCCGGCGCCGGTACCCGAGAGATCTACTATGTCCGCTACATCGACTGGTTCGTCACCACGCCGCTTCTGCTTCTGGATCTTCTCCTCACCGCCGGCCTGCCTTGGCCCTCTATCATGATTGCCCTCCTCGCTGATGAGGTTATGATTGTCACCGGACTTGTTGGTGCTCTCACCAGCACGAGCTACAAGTGGGGATACTGGGTGTTTGGCATGTTTGCCTTCTTCTACGTCGTCTATTCCCTGGTCTTTGAAGGTCGCAAGCACGCGGCTGCGCTCGGTGGCTCCATTCAGCGCACTTACACCAACTGCGGCGTTCTTACCATCTTCTTGTGGTTCTTGTACCCCATTGCTTGGGGCGTCGCCGAGGGTGGCAACATTATCCATCCCGACTCTGAGGCTCTCTTCTACGGAATCTTGGACGTGTTGGCCAAGCCTGGGTTCGGCTTCCTCCTCCTCTGGGGACACCGCAACATCGATCCCGCCGCGTTGGGTCTCCACATTCGCGCGCCCGGCGCCCAGAAGACCCACCCGGGCCAGCACGGGGGTGACCACGGACACCTCGGCGCCACCGGCGGCGCGGGGCCCTCGAATGGTGTTTGATGACACTTTTGACTGGAGCTTTTAGGCTCACACACCAGCATCTCACCAACAACGCCTCTTGGAGAGGTTTTGGGGCGGGTCCAAGGTACTAGTAACTAAAAGAGGTTACTAGACCTCTTTGCATAGGCATTGCCTTTGTAGTTTTAAAATTGAAGCTTTTGAAAAAAAAGTTCCTGTGGATTAGCTTTGATGCTCAGGAAGAGGGGGGAATGTGGGGAAAGGGGGGGTTCTTATCTGGTATCTGGTTTCTTCTGATGTTGGGCACTGCACGCTGGGCGCATAAGCCCCCTCTCCTAATGTTTACTATTATGTATCTAGGGGAAGGCAAGGGCTAATTTATTGCGGGAGTTCAAATGCTTAGAAGCTTTAATGTTTATACCCACAAATAACTATCGTTAATAGTGCTTTTTTTTGCATGCTTAGTCTTCCGTTTGGCAATTTGTGTGATTTATCTAGCCTAGTTTATTGCATATGGCTGAGTACTCTCAATTGAACAAGGGTTAATACAGATCATCAGCATGGTGGTCGACAAGGGTCGTCGGAATCTCCACCAAGATTTAGACCGGAGCTTGGGTCTTCATGGCATGACGACTACATACCCCGTGTCTGCAGGTGAGGCTGCCTGTCAACCATTTTGACGTTTTGCGGGGTTGCAATGCGAAACCTGGGCATATATTCAGACAGGGCTTTAGGGTTGTCTGCCCACTTGATTCATGCCTTGCGCCGTTGGGTTTTGTGCCCAGGCGCGAAGCCTCAAATTCCTTGGAGGTTTATTTGTGGTCATTAGGGGGGTTGGAGAATACTTCGAGATATGCGTGGGACGCGTTTCTTGGCTTCTCCCGTTAGCTGTTGAAACTCTTTGTTTGGTGAGGCGAACCGAAGCAAACTTTGCTCATGAACTTTGTCTTGTGTTCTCTGCCGAACCCCTCATCGGTCTCCTAGGAATTTGTGAGTCCACGAAGCGACATGATACATGCAAACTACACACGAAATAACTCGTCTGCCCCGTCTGTTTTTCATATCCACTGTTAGGTTCGGCGAAGCGGTTGTCATCAATACCATGGCTGAGTAGGCTGACCGGCAATATCTGCAACACGTCGTGTTTGGCATTTCATGCTCATCTCTCGTGTGTTTCTTTAGTACATTTCTTCATGATCTACTTTATCTTATATCCTCTTTACTCAGCTTTCTTCATTTTCTAGGGTTCTAGATATTCGATGCATCACTTTTGAATGCCCTTTGCTATAGCAGGATGAGACGCGTCCGCAAAAGACGATAAACACATACATCCCATAGCTGAGGACCTCACTAGACTGTCTAGACTTAATATATTCAAAGAGAGTACTGCTTTAAGTAATACGCTAGCAATGCAAATAAGTTAAACTCTAGTATTATATTCTTCTAAAAGAAAGTTTACCTATAGAAGCACCTATATAGTATTATAGAAAGATATATAGATACCTTACTAGCTATTACGCCCTCAGCATATACTACAGTATATTTATTACTTAATAGTTAGGCGTTACATACCCTTTGCTAATAGTAATATACTACTAGCCGTTTAGTGATGGTAGTAGGTATATTAATACTGCATATTACTGACAGCTTCCTCCTTCCTCTTTTTTCCTTTTTGCTTCTTCTTAGTAGTTATCTATAGAACCTAACGTGTTCCCCCTAAATAGGGCTTGCGCTAAGACTATCAGACTGGATTGTAAATGTTCAAGCCAGCAACGCTGAGGCATAGTTCTCATTCGTTTCTCTATCATGTAGGTGAAGTGCCACTCTGCCAACTGAATCTGGTGGCGGGCTAAAGTCAACGGGCGAATTGCACCACCTACCTGTTCTGTTGCTATTTCAGACGTTGCGAATCCTCATTCTGTTCGTCCAATCGCAAAACGCAAATGCCTGGCGCAAATATCTGCCTTATACGTGTCGCTAGCATCAGCAACGAGCTCATTTTCCAACCTGGACTGCTTGTCCTGATTCAATCCCATGTCCCATAACCTCACTGAGCTCTAAATTCCTCCTCCGAAAGACGATTCCCGAAAGGTCGGCCATATATCTCAGAATCTGCTCACTCCCGCTTCAACTTTTGCAAGTCGAATTCATCCTGATCCACCATGAGAACACACTGGCCGATGTCGACGTAGACCGGAAGCTTCCATTCATACACCCTGGGGCCGTCCAGATCACCATCGTCTTCCTTCGCCTTCTCTCGTAACACCATGAAGTCCTTGCCGTCTTCCCGGACGTATTTCAATGAGATCGTATAAGATCCCTTTCTCCGGGAGCCGAGGTCAAGAAAGTCGTAGGCATTGTAAACTTCAATGCGCCGCTTGGCAGGGTCTTTAAGGTCTTCCGTGGTCCCTTGATGAAAAGGTTCACATCTGATTCTGATGCGAGACTCGGTACGGAGATTGAATTGAAACTCCCAGTTCTGCCCCTTGTAAGTCAGAATGTTTGGCTTCGCCAGGCCATCTGGGCCCTTCAGGCTCGGTGAGTGGAGGGCAAAAGCAGCACCCTGCTTCATAAATTCCGCAACAGACGTTGCTTTGGAGAGAGCCAAGGCCGCACCTTGGGCAACCACCAATCGCCTGAAAACATTGTCAGCCACGGCCGCCGTTTTGTATCAGAAATAGCCAACTTACATGTCCGAGACGGCGCGTATTTCGGACAGCGCAATGTATTTCCATCCGGGTTGGCTGTCTATTTTGGCAATTGTGGCTGCGCGCGCAGCCGCATTCAAGTAGCTGCCGCCCGTAAGAACCACAGTTGTCGGTACCACTCTGCCCATTCTGGCAGTGATCTTGGTGTGGACTTCCTTGAGAGGTCTATCGAATGCTCTCTTGTATAGTCGTGCGGCGTCCACAGGCCCGTCAGGCTGCCAGATAAATGGTTCCTTATGACAGACCAGGGTGAAGGGCGTGCCGTCGTGACTGCCCTGCTTCAGTTTCAAGCACTCCATGAATTCCTTGACACACTCTTCAACTTCGTTCTGGCTGTCTTTGTTATACTCCAGATACTTGCGGAGTGCCTTCTCAACTCTCGTGCGTAAAGCTCTGATCCTCCGGGAGCGCCTATAGTATGTTAGACAATGTTGAACGCACAGCTCCCCCAACTCAACTTACCCCAGGGTTTCTGGGTGGCGAAGAAAGCAGGCTTGGAGTTTTCCTTTTCATGCTCATTCCATCTCAGATGGAACGTAACACCATTCTACAATCCAGTCAGCGCGCATGGTCTCGACAATCACCCAGGGGTTGAAAGACTTACCACAGTATGGCCGCCAAAGTCCGTAATCATTAACCTGTGCGGGTATCTCTCGTCGCCCTCTGGTCTTTGTAGAATGCCCCTTATATGACCGTGTAGGAGATAATGACCCACGGCCTCTGCTTCGTAGATACATACGAAGTTTTCGGGAGTGATGTTCGGAAACGCTTCCTCCAGAATGCCTGCATGCATTGTCTGGAACGGCGGCGTGTTCCATGTGACGGGGAGCGTGACAGCAATGCGGTCATAGAATAAACCCTCTCGATCACACGTGTCTTGGGTAGCCTTGGCAACTTTTCGGAAACACTCCACGACGTGCGCACGAAGTTGGTCTGTGGTAAGTTCTTCTCGCTCCTTCTCCTTTAGAATGAGGTCGCCTTTGAATGTTTTTTTCAGAAGCGACTGGACATCCTTGTCAACTTTGGCGTCGTCGGTAGCTCGTCGAACAAGTTCGTAGATGAGAAATTTAACACTCAGCCATCCACCTGCGCGAAGCGCGTCGTGGCCTGTCTGGCCTGTGGATGGTTTGAGCGCCGAGGGGAAGTCGAAATCTTGTTCGTTGTTAGCTCCTTGAGGAGGACATTCCGGGTCTCTCACGTCGTAAAAGATGCTACGATCTCCGACTTCGACGCAAAGACTGGCCCTGATGGCAGTGCTGCCGTCGTCCAAGCCAAGATCACTAGAAATTTATTGGTTAGCAGCTTCCTCTTTGTTAAGGTGGTGACGGTTCAACATACGCTTGGTTGAGACCAATCTTTCTCCGCTTGGGGGTTGCGGATCTACCGCGCTCCGTAGGTCCTTCCGTCGACCTCTCACACTTGCTTCTCAACCCCGCCTGGGGTACGGGCTGTTCATCCACGCCAGTCCGTTCCTTCCTTTTCTTGGTTGGTCTACGTTGAATCTCTGGGGAGGCATCCATCGTGTTGAAACGAGAGCTGTCAGACGACTTGTGAAATGCGTGCCGTTTGTCCTTGTGTTTGTCGCGCGGCATTGTTGAGAACTGTCACTGGTGAGGTTGAAATTCGCAACAGTTTTCAAGGTGAATTGATTTAAAGAGGAAGGGGCAGTGAAAAAGAAGGTGAAAGTTGAACTAGATAGGACAGCACGCACGGTAAGGACTCAATCGAAGTTTCGGCTTTGGACGAGGTGAGAGGCTGGTCGGAGGCAAAGGTTGCATGGGGTACGAACCTGGACTTAGTCTGATAGGTTGGTCGAGGTGAGAATTGGTCGAGATGAAAGGTTGGTTAAGGTCAGAAGTCGGCTGAGGTCTTCAGCTTTATATTCCTCACATCTTCTGTAGAAGTGGACGAGTTGACGGTCGAGGTGAGAAGAAAAGCCTAAGAATAGAATGAACGACACGTTCAAAGGCAGGAGGGATCTAAGATGATCACATAACCAGACGTCAATCTGTGCCCGCGAGATGAGAAATATTCAACTTTGAGACTGATTATCCCTGTGGAATAACCTCTATATCTAAAATAGATTATTTGTAGCTTGACGATTAGAGGTCTGAAGACTTCCATATAAGAGGGTTTATATCCGCGGAACTAGACTTTGATACACATTGAGGATCTGATAACTAATTCATACTTCACTTCTATCTACAATAGATAGCTTTCAAATGCTACACAAGGCTGCCATAAGTTTGCCACTATATATACAACCTAGTCAGAATAAGCTACGTGCAACTGTTCTGAGCATATCCTCCGATCATTTTCAAATTCAACACATAC